TCGGTCCATTTCAAGGGTGCAAAGATGTCGTTCGAACGTTCTTTCTTAAATTCCATCACAAATATCCAAGAATAAGTTGTTTACCAAGATATAACTTGTTGTCCTTTGACTCTTTTAAACTATATAGCGCATCTTTCGATGCCAGTAGAACCGGTATCAATAATAAGAAAACTGGAAAGAGTACCTCGGTCTCCAATCTCTTTTGAAAAAATGCATCCCATAGAAATCCACCCACCACCCCCTAGTTGTCAGGAGTGATTGATATCGCACTTCGCGCATGGATGAATTGTTACCTGATGGAGATTGTATTAGGTCGTGTTAATACTTTTTCTGGCCACTGCTTGGTTACTTTTCCAGTGAATGGACCCTTTAACCTTAAAAGAGATATGCCATGAACATTATACACATAATGTATGGTCCCGAGGGAAACAGTTAGTTTTGTTTTCTTTCGAGTCATGATGTTTCCCTCGACTTCGTCTCGGGAGACATCAGACTCGAGGGAAAACAAAACTAGCTAGTTTCCCGTGCGACCATAAATTAAGTGCTTTGTTATATATATTTAGACTTCCCCTTAAACAATCATACGGTAAAGACATGTCGTTGTATTCGGCGCGGGCAACGACTACACAATTGTATCCCGGTCGGGATACATTTGAATTTGATCAGATGCACGTGACCAAGAACCAACCAATCAATCACAGTGCTCGTTTTGTTAAGTGAAGGTCAAGGTATATAACAATTTAGGATGATTCACCTTAGAATGTAACGTTAAAAGCTGCCCAATTTTTCTTGAGTTTAATGCACTTGCACAAAATTTTTGCACCACTCAGGATTATTGGCTTTCACTCCTTCATAAAAAATTGGTTGGTGCCATTGTCCTTGGGGTCAGGAGCGGTTTGTATCCCCATGAGATGGTGAGAGTCTTTGCCCATTGTACCAACACGAAATCAGGGTAAGATCTCATAAATTTCTTAAAACCTATTTAATAGTTAAACGAGTAGCATGTTACTTAGTATCACATTAATCATTTAAAACATAAGTTTTCGAACCTGAAGGCAGTTTCAGTTCATTTGGAACAAACAGCACATTATATGCGGAAACAACGTATGGTGCGCTTCGGAAGTGACGGTTACGTTAAATGCCAAGCTGATCTCTCATCTTAAAAAAACAGTTACTCTCGTTACTTTTTACCAGAACACCTAGTACTTTCATCGGCAAGTTTTACACTGATAAAAATGAGCAAATCTAATCATTTTTCCTATAAATTAATTTTGCAGTCTTTACAAGAGGGGTGCAATAACACTTATGGCGATGAACCTACATCCAGAGAGAGAGGCTAATTTAACATTAAAAGATATTCCAGATCACGATATAGATGAATTTCTTTTCACTCCAGATGGAGACATTACTTCAAGGTTGGTTTTTCCTCTCTCTGGACGAAATTTGAATGTAAACCACTTCAACTTAGCAGGAATCATAGGCATCCATTTGATTGATGTAACTCAACTGGAATTCTCTGAGGAAAAATTAATTTTGGGAGTGAATTTCAAATGCAACCTGTAAGGCGCGGGAGATAAACGAGTCGTCAAATAATAATAAGAAGGGGTAAGTTCCCAAAGAAACTGTGGTGCTGCGTCGGTGGGATGTATTACAAGATGATTTGGTTTCATCAACAGAGTTGATCTTGTAAATTGGCCACCACAAAGAGTCTCTTAAGCTGGCGTTTCCAAAGTTAGGTCTTTTATCAACTCAGTTTGTAAAACCAAATTACTATATAATAGTGTTGAACGATCAAACTGTTACTTGTATGGAGTTGAAGCTTATTGACAAAGCTGCGTCACGTACCACATGATGTTTGATTAACGGAGCGTACCATTAATGGCTCAGAACCGGTACAAGTGATTTTAGTTATCAATACTGGGGAAGAGGGTCGTTGGGCCTTGGATAGAGTTCGAATGGAAAGATTGCAACGGTTATTTTGAGTTACCCTTTTCATACATACATTCATTGATTGTCAACCCTTTCCAACGGGTCATATCAATTTACCGCCTGCAAGAGAACCTTGTACATGTGACTACTTCTTGGGTTTAGGTTTAATTTATCATGTGAGGGCCACCACAGGGTCAGCTGTTAATTACATCGGGGGCACAGTTCGAGACATAACCATCTCATTTCATTTAGAGAACACGTTTGCATGTACTTTAACGACCACTCACCTCTAGCCACTTTACCAAGAATTTCTAATTAATCCACCAATATTTATCCTCAGTTGTATTTTTTTTCCTTTTTCCAGGAGGATAAAGCTTAATGGCAAGGTGCTTGAAATGGGCCCAGGTTCTTTTTTTCCGACTTTTCAGCCAATCAGAATACCGAGAGCTAATCAGGTGATCCTTCCACCTCTGACGTATGCTTTCTACGTTGTCCCGGAAGCAAATGCTAAAGCATGTTTGGAATCCACAAAGAAACGACCATAAAAATGTTTTTAGAGACTTCAGTGATAGTAAAGTCGTCAAGGTCTACACCGTGAAAATTTCTTATTCGGAAAGTCTAGCATAACTTTTGTTTTTAACCGTTGTGGGACCTTTCACACGCATGATTATCATATTGAGTACTGGAGCACATAACCAAATTTTAATTTGATCAAACTCACGATTAAAATGATAAGTATCACAAAATAACCTACATGCAGTCTTTACATTCTTCCTAGTTATCTCAGTAATTTAGGAACCAGTCATTCTTTATCGTCTGGGGGAGGGTGGGGGATGTTTTGAAAACCATGTGATCTTGAGGGGATCATATGGTTTTCAGGGGAAACGGAGCAGGGGGATCAGTCATCCCAAACAGAGTATTAAGGGGGGGGGACAGGAAATTGATTGCCAACTAACTGCCAATGAGGAAGGAATATAAGAATATTACTTATGGAGGAATCAGTAAATTCTCCTATCGTGACACAACCCAAATCCTCCTACCCTTCTCTCTCCCCCCCCCCTCCCCGCGATGACCAGTATCTGGTTTATCCTGCGCTTTAACCTTTGTGTTGTACTCTATACAGCATCTTATGTTGAAGCGCGATAAGCTTTTTAAACTTGTCAATCAACTAGTTTTATTTGGAAACAGAATTCTTCAGATTATACATAATAACTGATCATGAATAACTGATTGAAGGAATAGTAAGCATTCATTTTAATTCTAACATTTACAATGGTTTACTGTTTTGTATGGCGAAATATATTTTTTACCTCAACACGTCCGACAAATATAACATTGAAGGAGGATCTACTAAGCTTGATGGGGTTCGTCTGATTGATTTAATTCTAGTTTCATAAAATTATAGATTAAAAAACTGAAACGGTTGCCTTCAGGAAAAATCACCGTCTCTCCGGCCATTGATTGGTGTGATGACTATGCGTGGAGTTGCAGTCTTTCCTTTCCTCTTAGGACACAAAATGTTTGTGAAACTACGTTTCCTCCGACCAACATATGGATGAAGAACACAGTAAGATAACATGAATCCCATGGCAAGTTCTATGAGCCTAAACGACGTCTCAAATGCAAACCAGGGCCATGGCTTGGGGGTTACAGTCCGGGTATATGCCCCATGAACACCAAATAAAGAATACGCCTGAAGTCCACAGCACAAAATGCTTAGAATGCTGGTTATCATGGTGATACTGGCGACTTTTTTAACCGCACGCTCTTTTCCTGTCAGAGGAAAAGTAGTATTTGGACTTCTTTGGTTCCTAGCGAGGATGGGCACATGGACTGACAATCTTAAGGGCTTGATGGATTGAACTGCAGCCCCATGGTCACTGGGGGGCCTAGGAGGCTCGATCGTGAAAGCTGAATTTGGATCACCGTTACCCAGATCGGTCCCAGGTTGGTTCTGTCGCTTGGGAGCTTCTTCATTATGACCCCCATGGTCCTTTCCCGGTGGCCAAGGATCAACGGTGGTCTGAGGAAGCCGGGTCAGTTGGCGCCACTCAGCGTTTTCCATTTCGCAGATTTTGTTTCGAATATTGATAGTTGTTATGACAACTCTTGATCCACTGTACATGAAGCAGATGGAATTAAGAAGCCCCCATACGATGAAGAATGATTGACAAACAATCAAAAGTTCTGTTCTGTCTGCTTTGATTGCAGTGGTCGTATCTGACACAAGGACCACAGCAAAATGCACAAAAATTATACATCCCACGAAAAGGGGATTTTTGAGTTTCGGTGAGCCAACCTGAATCTTCGCAACCTCCAAGAAAGCAACGTGCACAAGGCAAAATGCAGACATGAGGCAAGGAAAGGCGATACCAAAGAGGGGTCTCACAACCCACAATGGGCAGTTAGGAATGTTTTCCTCCGATTCGTACGGGTCAATCCACAGATACAAACTTCTTGTAGTTCCTAATGCTATAAGAAGCAAGTTGATTGAGTAGAAAAGATTCATTCCTGCAAAATTATTGATAATTTCGGGAGAGCGTATTACTGCCCACAAGGACTTCAATGCTAAAAGGGCAAAAGCCAGACCCAGTCCTATCCAGTGAAGCTTCCATAGCCATCCCCATTGCTGCTTGGCAGTGATCCAAAAAGGGCCTGGCTCCGGCGCTGCAGTGTCACGTCCTGGAAAGGCCACATCCTCTCCTCTGGGAGTTCGTTCCGTATTTGGCGCTGCAATAACGTTTGGTATAAATATGCACGCGACACATAGAAACTTAAATCCTGAAAAAAAAAAAGGACCAAAAACAAAAAAAAAATTAAAGAGCAGCTTTAAATGGCTCTTTCTTATCAGTTCCTTGAAAATTGTTGATGAAGGAAAATTGATGATGAAGGACTTAAAAAAGTTTTTCAAGGATGAGGATTTTATCTAGTAGGAGTTTCAGTACTCCTGTTTCCCATGGAAAACGGGATATTCGTCAGAAGTGCAACTCAGTCACTTGTGAAAATTTCAGTTTTGTAGAAAAAACTCACTAGCCTCACCTTTGAATTCATTGACAATCATTTTCTTGTTGAATTAAGTTTAGGTTGATTGCCTATAACTGCCTCTGTATGTTCAAAGAATGATCTGAAGGAGAGGAAAAAACAAGACAAAACAAAACATTCGGATTAAACCATTTTGAGTCTTACAGCGGCGCACGATGTAAGTCGGTGTAATGCAGTACATCATCCTGAAAACATGACATTATGTCGAGAATCATGCTTCAAATTTTTAATTAAGCTCAATCAGAAGCATGTAATTTCAATTCTATTATTCATGATAGTAGCTCTTACGAGCTCCCCAATCTCCCCACCCATTCCCTCCACTAACGGGTAAACCTCTCTCTGAATAAAAGGCTTACCGAAGTTCAGAACACAACATTTTTACTGGATCAAACAGGTGCAAGCAAGAAAAGCTGTCTCACTGTTGACAGTACTTCAGCTTCATAGTTTGCTTCATAGTTTGTCTTCATTGAACTGTAAAATCAAGGGAATGTCTAAGAATTTTAATTATCGTGCTGCATTATGCTCGATGCTCCGCCTATTACTGCATTAAGCCCAATATTATGGCAGCATAATTTATCTGACCCTTGAACTATTCGAAACTAGGTGTTGGTTTGAACAAATATGGAGATTTGAAATTAAGGCCTTCACTTCTGCAAATAATGGCCGCTTGTGACCACTGCTTTATAGCTATGTGGCTTTCAGCTAAATTATTTGCGTACAAATCATGTTGAACATAAATTGAGTCTATGAAAAGATCCCTATGCCTTCATCATGGTTTGTTTTGTTGTTCATTTATTATCAATTGTTTCCGTCTCCTGGGTATGAGGCAAAGAATCTTCCAAGTCGATAACCAAAAAGATACTTTAAATTTACAATGCACGCACGCGGAAGTATGTTATTCCGTATTCTTTTGGAAGTTACCGCACCCTTACCAAGACAGAGAAGGACTCAGAAATAGCTGTTCTTTTTGGATTAAGAAAGCTGGATTGCTTTTTTACATGGCACACAATTTTGACCAACCATTAAGTTGCTTTGAGGCTCTCTGACACGACATTTTGATGCACGTTTTGTTGAAAACCCTGATCACTAATACGGTAAACAGCACTTTGCAAGAGACAAAGAATAGTTTCATACTCTAAATCTCCTGGAAGTGAGGTTTCATATCTTTTTACCATCGCAATTTTTTTTAGAGCAACGACTTGCCCTTGGGGCGGTCACTATGCCGCCATATGCTCGTATATCGTAGAAAATTATTGTAAACCTGAGTATTTTAAGACATCTCTGGCACATTTTTCTTCTTTCGTGGTCATTCTGCCTTATGTGCTATTTTCAAGTAACAAAAGAACCTACAAGATCCATGGTGGAATGAAAACCAAACACAAAGAGGAAATGAGAGACAAAATTTATGCAACTACAAGAGCTCGTCTGTATCTAAGATGCGTGACTACCTCCTTTTTTTTCAAAAGAACATTCAAGATCAAGTAAAACTGTAAATTAACTCAGGGGCCTGATTCAAAGCAACCTTTCTTACCATTGTAGTTTTCGTGACAAGCCAAAGAATTTCATCCTCAAACATTTTCATGTGGTTTTTAAATTTTTATTATTTGCATGTAAAGGAAATGAAACCACATCTTGAGATCACATCATGAATTTTAATCGTCTTAGAAAACAACTCATCCGTCGATCTACATCAGAATTTGTCACGATACAGTTGTAAAACTAGAAAACTATAAGAACTTAGACGTGTTGCGATATCATCTTAAGGAACTAGCCTCAATTTATAAATATCATCCATAGAAACTTCTTTGTACCCGAGACTCCAAAAGAATCGCAAAAGCAAAAATTTAAGCGTCAATGTATTTCGCCAAACTTTATCTTTTCCAAGTATGCCTTCTGTCTTCTTCAACAATACCTTATATTCTAAGTGATCGTTAGAACTTTTGGTAATAAGGAATTGTGCGTTCTTATCGTAAACCCTTAAGCCGGCTTAACTTAAGTGCAAACATCACAAATAAGTTATCAAACTCACTTGTATTTAATGCGAAACTGTGGAAGATGTTATCACGGCCGAAGATTTTCAACGTATGGCAATATACCCGCACTTTTTAAACCATTCACCAGACATCGCAGTGGAAATAAATATCAGCTACCTTTGTTCCGTGTAGATTTTGCTTTCAGTCAGGAACACCTTTCGATGAAGTGGGGTCTTATCTCGATTTTACATGCGCATAAATTTGCGTGAAAAAGCACTTAGCTGCAATAGGAAACAATATCTATATCGGCCTGATTGTGCCAACATTATCTTTTTAAAACCCTTTTTATACTTACAATAAGTGTGTAATTGTTTGTTATGCATTTTATCACTGATAAATGTTAATTTTGCGGTTATTGTGTTCTTGATGTGTTTGTTTCATCTGAACAGGCGTTCGGGGCTTGCTGAACTAAAAAATAATTTTTCCGCGATGTTGTTTTTCTGCCGAAAACGTACTGATGCGTGCATTTTATGGCCAGTTCTTTTGATTCATGAGAAAAGGTTCTGGGTTTGCACGTCTGATTTTTGTCTTCTCATATTATCTCATCTAAAGGATGTTTAGAGTGTTTATGACCCCCCTTGAGAGCTTTCATAAATGCATAAAGGCCTATTACCCTCTAAACCCTTTAATTCCCAAGATCTTATTAGTAATTCTCCTTACTGTCTGCCGTATAGTTCTTGTGATGTTGGTTTGAAGAATTTGTTACTGGCTCAACTAATAATCATCTGGTTAATATTTCTCTTTATTCTCATCACTTTTCTGCTTGTTACTGTATTGATATTGCAAGGAGAAATTCTATCTTGGTCACTTATTGGAGTTGAAGGGCTATGCAAATACGTTTCATCGCCTGACTGTTTGGCAGCTGGCGAGTGCCATCTTGTGCTGTTCTCTGCTCGCTGATGAAACCTTTAAACTCACTTAAAATACACTTTAATCTTCATCGCTTAGGTGGACTCACTAAGTCACAAAATAAATTAGAATTAATCCCTTTTTTCGATCTCAAATGTAATTTTTTCACCAAAGTTTCGAATCACTTTTCTGTTACCTTCTCTAGCCACTCTTCTGAGTATCCTAAAATTGACAAAAAAATACTGGAAGTACTGTCAGGTGTTACAAGCCTTTTAAACGGTGCTAAGCTAACTAGTTATTGGACTATGGTTTTCTAAAATGTGCTGTTATCTGTGTTACTTGATTCCACTTTAATTTGGGATATTTGTTTTTACAGGGTATCGTAGTTTTTAAAAATTTTTTTGCATATTCGTAATTTGTCATGTCATCATCAACCACAAGAGAAAACAATGTCCCATTGTTTGTTCTAGTCAACCACCATCATATTAATTTATTTCAATTCTGCATTAATCAGCTACTTTACTTTCAAGTTGACTTTAACCTCTCGTGCGTTTCACGACATGCAAAATTTTCTGAAGTCTCTCAGTCACTTTGAGAGGATGGGAAGCAACCTTAGTCTTAAGGTCCTCTCGCTTTCGCCCTCGAGAAAGTTATGTTCTCGGGGAAGGAGGAGAAAGGACCCTGGAAACGAGGTTGGATGGGAAGGAGTTTACTCTATAGATGTAGGGAAGAAGCCTATAGTGGGAGCCTCCATCTCCCATACTTATCCTTGGAGGCAACCCTTCCCTGCTTAAATCTTAGGATGGCAGCCAAGTGAAGTTTCCAGTTGTAAGAAACAGCTAAAACAGAGCCGTGAAAATCCTACTGTTTTACTTTAAACATCCGCTCAGCGAAATCAGATTTTGTGATTCGCGGTGGACTCAACGGAGATATGATACTTTTCGCGGTAGAGAGCCGTTCTTAAAATGAATCTTTTCGGGAAAGGGTCGCCGTGACTCAAGGAATCAGTGGAGATAGAGGCTACCGTTGATGCGAAACTGTGTAAGGTTAGTTATCAGCGAGTCTGTATTAGGCACGAAAAGGTTAGAGTATAACCCTTTCTTTCCTAGGTCAAACACACGTCCTCGTTAATGCGCTTGCGCAATAATGGCTTCCTAAGGATTATTGGGAAAGAAATGGGTGGAAATGAAATATGAATGGCGGCTAGTGAGATCCTCCAGTTTGAGATGCGAAGAGTAATCAATATTTGTTTCTGAAATAATCTGAAACCAGGAAATTTCGCATGTATAGCTAGGTTAAATAAAAATACGTACTTCCCGAAAAAGTAAAAAAAAGAACAACTCTCTCGAACAATCCACATCAATACCTGCTCTCAGCTTGTGGTACTTCAATTGAATTAAATCAATTCTTGCAGCCCCAGAACTTCGGTGGTAACATGCTCTCAACTCAGTCACAACGCATGCTCGATATTTCGGAAACACTGATATAAATTACACTCCGGAATCACAATCTTTAAATGGGTTCTTGTCGGTGAATGTGAAAGTCGTTTCGACAGTCTGAGCGAAAGTCATCATCAGAGTTGTGTATCACTAGTCTTTACAAGACAGCCTCGAGCGAATTCAGATAGAGCAGCAAGGCCAGGTGTATTAGTTATTTGTTCCTTAACGTGTAAACTCCGAAGATCTGATTGTTAATTCTCCTCACCCGCTGCTCCTCTTTTCCTTGTAAATTGGGTAGGATATTTTGTTGTTAGACCTGGTGAAAAACTTCAACCTTATAAGTTTGACTATTCTAGTTACCTGTTTGCTGGATAATGTTTGCATATTATAGGGAGAAGTTACAATTTGATCTATTTGTGAGTTTAAAGGTTAAACGGCACTGCCATTACACTAAAAAACTAATTCTCATTTATTTGAATTGAAACAAACCGTTAACTTCTATCAAATTATTAGCTTTCTTGTTAGTGGCAAATCTAGAACTCAATTAACAGTCTCCTTCCAAGAATCGTTCATTAAAGCGCTGGATTCAAGATACTTTAGTGTGGATATTGAGTCTTAAATTATTAAGCAATCTAAATTCCGTCTTTAAATAACAGATCGATACCATCACGTAGAAGATATTAAACAGCTTAAGAATCTCAGGGTTTGAACCAGTTCTATGACATAATACTTGCGACGTATGATTTTCATATTTTCATTTCAAGAAAACCAAGTTGATACTATAAGCTCTCTTGGATAAGTACACCCCCCTTTCTTTTGCTACCATTAAGTTAATTAGTCCATTTATAAACTAAATGACTTTTAGTGATTAAAGGTTCTAGAAGAGGTCTGTCTTTAGTGAGCTTTGTTTGCCAATTGTAAGTTACACTCTTGCCACTACACTGTCAAGACTTCTTAGGAGCACTGATTAGTCGGCGTAAAATGAAATCGTGTAACTTTTATTTTTTCTCGTATTTCGAAAATAGCTATGTACGTGTACATAATCAGCATAATTTTGCGCGCACCACTAACTGGGACGTCAGGCAGAAAATCTTAACAAGCGAATTAGTCTAATTAGTAATAAATCATAATGTCTATGAAAAGCCTTCTAGCGAACAATGTGCGGGTTGTCACTCTTCAAGAGTGAGTGGTTTTTCGGTTCCTTATATTATATAATTATGGTAGGAAAATTGACGTCACAGAATGAGCTTTAAAATTTGTCTTTAGACTTTGCGGAATATGTTTCGACAGTTTACGAATATTTTTTAATATATTTCAATACCGTTGAGGGAACTTATTTCTTGTCACGACCAAGACCATCATTTTTTCAAATAAGTCATGCAAAAGTTTCCTTTGGAGAACATTGTTGTCATGTGTTGAAGGCAGGAATTCGAACTCCAAAATGAGAGAAAAATTGTCGATAAACTCTTAGGTAGCCGTTCTCTATTCCATTTTCTCGAAAGCTTTTGATTTTTATGTGTTTCAACAGGTGAATGTTAGAAGTAAAGAAGATTGATTAGGTTCCAGCTTCTCTCGGTCCTCCAAAAACAAAATGGTGGACGCAGTGCTCAACAAATTTCCAGTTACTCTAACTAGGTTTTCCGGTTGAAAGTAGGGCTAACAAACAAAAAAAATTGATTTTCAGAAATAATTTCACTTAAAAGACTACAGGTTAAATTCTTGGATGAAACTTTGTTATTCAAGAACTGAATCGATTGATGGCTCCCATTGTTGTGTTGTTTCGATCACCTACTTCACCTCCCACAGAAGACGAATACCACAAGGTGAGAAAGTTTTTAAAAGAAATTTGGCTGACCTAAGAGTGACCAACCACTAGTTCTAATTATAATATCACCCCTGAATCACACATTAAGGTCGCGAGATTAAAGGAAATGATCGCCAACCGAGGAGGCTCTTGATTGTTAAAACAAATTCTCCTTGTCAGCACCTTAGGAAATGTATAGAGAACAGTATGGAGAATATGCATACTGATGTGAGCTATCGAACTATTTTTTCAAATAATGTTGTTGTGCTTTTTTTTTCTGCAGGAGTTGACTATGAAAGGATGTGAACCATTCTCAATTCCTGTCCTTGCATTCAAGTATGACAATGAGAAAGAGTTGAGTCAGAAACTTCAGGATCCAAATAAATATGGAGGTGTATTATCCATACAAACGTTCTCTTCTTTCATAAATGACAGGCTGTCTATAAGGCATCAGACATTGGAGAATCCTTAGGCTTCAAAGCAGAATTCTCTTTTCAGATGCATGGCAACATAAAATCTTCTTGCTAAATGGATGTATTCTGTGTAATTAGTAACATTGAGTCTGGGAATGCAGTTTCACTCCTTTATCTCCTTCCCACTTCTTATAAAAATCTCTGTTACTAAACAATCAAATACCAATGGACTTGCAAATGGTTGCTACAGGTATGGTTGTGACAAGCCAGCGTGCAGTGGAGGCTATGGAACTCTGTGTGGCTAACTTTGTGTCACATGAAGGTTGGAGTCATTTCATTAATTATGTTTCATTTGCTTTCTTCTGGTATGGTGCTTAGGCAGTGACATTATGAAAAATTTCTGTTCCTAGTTTGGAGAGATGAGGTGGCAAAATTGTGGAAAGAGAAACCAATATATGTTGTGGGAAAAGCTACAGCCAAAGCAGGTTAGAGTGATTTTATAATATAAGCGCTGGCTAAGTCATTGATATCATGTCATCAGCATCATCATTGATCTAGATGGATATTGAACCAGTTAACATCTGCATGCACAAAATACTTTTGCTGTGATGTTTAGTATCCTGTTTAATTTGAAGAGTTAGGACAGATCTTTTTTTTTTTTATCTTTTAGTCAGTGAGAAGCTTGGATTGAACTCTACTGGAGATGATGCAGGGAACGCAGATGCCCTTGTTCCTTTCATTCTTCAGTGTATGGATTATATTATGACTGTGAATATATGAAAATCATACATGTGAACTGTGGATAAAGAAGCGAATATGAAAGTGATCTTCGCAGTTTGAACATTACTTAAGCAGTAGAGAAAATTAGGCCTGAAAAAATTCTTGCCTGTACGGAATTTGAACCCATGACCTCTGTGATACTGCTGCAGTGCTCTACCAACTGAGCTAGCGAGCCAACTGGGAGTTGGTCATTATGTTGGTTCCAAATAAACCTGTAGTGATGAATGAATGACTGTGAATATCTGAAAATCTTATAGATGAACTGAGGATAAAGAGGTGAATAAGAAAGTGATCTTTGCAGTCTGAACATTACTTGAAAAATAAAGCCTCAAAAAAAAAAATTCAGGCCAGTACAGGATTTGAACCCATGGCCTTTGCGATACTGGTGCAGTGCTCTACCACTTCTTTATCTGCAGTTCACATATATGATTTTCAGTCATTCATTCATCACTTTACGCGCTTATTTAAAATCAACATAATGACCAGCTCCCAGTTGGCTTGGTAGTTCAGTTCTGCCACCTGAGTCTTAGAGCCAATAACATCATGGCTAAATTGACCAATCTTTTTACACCATCCTGACAACAGCTCTCAAAGGACTCTGATGATGACTTCCACTCAGGTTGTCAAAAGGCTATTCAGTACTGCCAACAACAATTTCCTTAAATTTCCTTTATCAATTTGATTATCAAAAAGATTGTGGTGGAAATGACTCTAGTAATATTTTGTTTATACTCTACATAGCTTTCACACTAGACAGTGATCCACTGTTGTTTCCTTGTGGTAATTTAAGAAGAGAGACAATACCCACAGCAATGGCAAAAGCAGGTACAGTGGTGGTAGGGGAAAAGGGTTTTTTTCGACCTTTAACCTCACATGAGCTGTAACTTGTTCAGATGGGACTAACTTGGTTCTGTTTTTTTCACAATAAGCACAAAACCTGGAATGAAAGTGGTTGCAGAAGGGTGATTGAACAAGTCAGATTTTAACCTTCTGCTATGCAGGAGAGGGCTATTCATGTAATATTGTCTTGAACATGGGAGAAGAAGTAGATGACACACCACCCCCCTTCCCCTACCCCCTTTACAATTAGAGTGTATCATGTAAATTATCTTCTTTTATGAAGAAGGTGGGGGGGGGGGTGGGTTGGCACATACCTTAGATACCTCTCTCCCTCCAGTCATGAATCATTATTACTACCTGATTAACCCTTTTACCCTTAATGAGTGATTGGCATCTAGTTTCTCTTTACTGTATCTCTGCTGAAATCAACATTGTGATGATGAGAATATAGGAAATGATTTGCAAGAAATGTTTTTGATCTCCTTGCCAGCACCAGAGAAATGTATCAAGAACAGTATGGAGAATGTGGATATCCATGTTAGGCTGCAAAGGATTAAAGTAGCTTGAATATTTCTTCTTAAGTGGGCTGGCCTCCTCCTGTTTAGCTTCCACTTATTGGCAACCCACAACAGCCCCTATTAAGAAGTAAAAGCTAACTGCCAGCCCTGAAACCTAAGGAATAGGAAGCCTTGTACTTAGAAAAAGAGGCTTGCTGTTAGTGAAGGCTATAAATAACCATCTGCTGTTAATTTCTTGATGTTGCAGGAGTAGCACTTGACAGCATTCATGTATACAGTACATGTGCAGACCCTAATGTTAAAAATTTGTTGGAAGACTTAACAAAAGAGAAGGTAATTTTTTTTTTTTTTTGGAGGAAATATCATAGCACTTGTTGTAACAATGAAAGAGCAAAATGTCAAAGTACATCATCATGCAAAATTGTTACCAATTAACCCTTTCACTCCTAAGAACTCATTCATAATCCTCCTGTATGCCATACAATCCTTATGATTAGAGTTTGAAGAATCTGGTATTGAATCAACTAAATAATCCCCTAATGTATGATTTTGTATATCCTCATAATTTATCTGCTTAATATTGAGGAGAGATTCTGTCTTTGTCACTCATGGGTGTTACAGGGTTTAGTGACAAAATTCATGTTTGAGAGACAGGGGTAGGGGGGTGGGTGGAACATAGACTTTTCCTATTTGCCATTCCAGAATATTCTGCAACTAATAAGTATTTTCATTTTAGGGTGTTCCATCATATGCTGTATTTTTCAGTCCATCAGGAGTTAACTTCACACAAGATATTCTTTCTGGCATTTTGGAATGGGATAGTGTTAAAGTAAATATTTGATTTTTTCACATACAACTCTTAGTGATTTTCCTCCCTACATTCTCCCCTAGTAACCAAGTGGTGTCTCAAGGATGTCTTACCAATTGACCTTGATTTGGTTTTACTTTACAGCTCATTGCAATTGGTAAAACAACAGCAGAAGCAATGAAGAATAAAGGTTGGAAAGTATTTGCAGTATCTGAACAACCCAATGCTCACTGTCTAGCTAAATGTATCACGCAAAGTGTCGAAGGAGACCATTAACAGCTGCTAAAAAATACCTGAAGCACAGTAAAAAAAAGTGGTTTATGTATAATACCACAGATCTCTGCATTTTCTTAAAAGAAGAAAAAAAAAAGGCCTCCTCTTACTTTTGAGTAGTGGAAAATAACAATCTTGAACAAAATGAAATTGGGTTCCTTAGATTTTATTAAGCAATTTTTTTAATCTGCTACAGATAACTAATTTTTGCAAAGGATCAGAAATCAAGCCGGTTTGTAGAATGTACAATTTATCTTGCATGCTGGTTACTTCCCCCTTGAATTCCAGAGGGTAATGAATATGCAACTTCTGTTTAGCACATTATCTCTATAGTAACCAGCAAACTGGTAAAAGGAATACCTTAAATTAAGGGTGAAGTCACTTTTAATTACTGCTTTACAAGAGTATTTGTGGCAGAATTCGAACCACAATCTCTGGAGGTACAAAGTTAATAGAACAAAGACATCGATAGTAATTGAAAGCTATGTACAGCAACAAGTTACAAATCAGCAACAAACAGATTTAACATGCTTAAATGGCCTATGGGTCTTTGCTTACATATTAATGTTTCTATGTCAATAACAAAAAAAAAAAAAGCTTCCAGGAAAACATCTCAGGAAGCAAGTGGAACAAAACCACAGTTTTACTTTTTGTCAGAAAGCAACCAGTTACTGATGGTGGTATAATTGCATTTGCAAAGTTCTTCCTTCACATTTCTTTTTGGTTCATGGTTCATTGTTGCCGTTTTATCTGTTCTTCTGTAACCTCTCTATAATCCTCTCCAATACTCGCTTGGCTTCACACATCGGGAAGTTCCTCATGTCATAGTACTGGGGTGCAATCTTCACCAACCTGCAAAAAAATCAAGTACCAAGCTTTCCTAAAACATCTCAGAAGAAGTTGTACAAGAGGTTACTAGATTGTCCTGAAGAAGTTCCCAAAAGGTCTCTAAAGTGTTATAAGCGTAATTGATTCTAGCCACTGTCCTGATGCACTCTTGTCTCAAGCCCACGGCAATAATGTCATGTCTGGCTTGTTCATGTAATAAACTGAATTACGATTGATTTATTAAAGGACAGACACATAGGTGACATCATAATTGAAAGTTTTTTAATTTCTATTATACAAAACATAGATTCCGTATTGCTGTAGATCACACAATATGTGAAAAATGTAATGAGAACATCAGTGACCTCAGCTGTGCCTTGTGCACCACTTTTTTGCTCTTACCAGCATTTTGACTCCATCTGTTATCTCTAACAGAACACAAGCATGACAACATGGAATATATTTGTTAAACAGACTGAGACCAAAGCAGAAGCTCTTCTCTTTGGTGCACTAAGTGAGGCCATAATGTCTAGCTTCAAGCATGATAACCAAAGTCACCTTCTTGGGCCTCAGGAACAAAATAACACCAGACTCAATACAATGTACATGGGACGATATAAACAAATTTGCTAGCCAACAGACTATTTAGAACTTATTGAAAATAAAGTAACATTGTCAAGTGTTGGAAATAGCAGTTGACTAGGATTCAGTTGAATTTGTTTTGTAATTGGTTGCACAGGTGACAACATTCAAGAGATCAATCATAATCATTAATGGGTTATAAAGTAAACACCCCAAGAAATACACTCAGGAAAGTCTCGGGTATCATGAAACTTACCAGTCAGCCTTTATGTCTGTACAGGTCCGAATGTAGTTCTTGGTGGTCAATACAAACTCATTATACAACACCCACTCTGGCTTGTGATCCAAACAAGTTGATGGATGCAGTTGTACAACCTAGTGGTTGAATAATAATAATTTTTAGTCGAATAAATTCAGTTAACCTTCAGATGAAATTCAAATACACCATTGGTCCTTGCAGGTGATCTGTAATTTCAGTCATTGCTGAAAAGAAGCCTGAAAAAAAATCAGGCTTTACCTGGATTTGAACCCAGGCCTCCTTGGTACTGGTTGGACCCCTACAACCAACTGAGCTACCAAGCCTCATGTTTGGAGTGGGGCACATTTTCGAGGGTTCTCCTTTCAAGTGGAGAAATCTGCTCCAAATATGTAGGTTTGGCAATCATTCACCCAATATTTCAATGTCAGGAATGTCTGGGATAGTTTAGCTTGTTACCAGTCACTTAGGTGCTTAGCTACTGTACCCCCTAATCACAAAGAAAAACGGTGTGCAGAAGAATCTGACAAAGACATCAGTCAATCTCCTAATATATCAGCAAAATCTTGGACTGTAGGTAAACAGTGAAATTGTTGATTGCCTGGGATTTTTGTGACATATAAAAACAAAACTTTATCAGTGTTCTGTTATTAATGTAACAACTCAAGACAGTAATATCCTGCTTTAAGTAAAGGGAATCAGTAAAATTTACTGATTTCCTTTACTTAATATCTCACCTGGTTGTCTTTGACAGTCAGGTAGTGTCCAGACCTCTCCAAATGAGCCACCTACTCATCAGAACAGTTAAGTGGGAGGGATGGGTGGGTAGGTAGGATTCACAGATTTAATGGTCAGTATCTGAAGTACTTCAAATAAGATTACTGAATCAGTTTGGGGAACAAATGCCATTTTTTAACCACACTTCATTTTGATAGGAAATTTTTTTGCTCAAAATGTTTGTACACATTTTTGTGCCTTGTCTGGTTGTAAAATACTAACAGAGTACATGTTTG